AATTTTATATATAAAATTGTATTTGTAATTAACAGTAGAGATGACTAGAGCTGATGTGATCTGGATGCAACTAAAGACAAATGTGCAACTCTTATATTTTATTTCACTTCCTGGATGCAGAGAGATACAGTGTAGTAAGTTTTTAAATTATATGTTAACTGCTCTCCAAGCAGTAAAACCTAGATGGATTTTCAAATCCACTTTCTTCTCACTGTGTTTCACTGATTATTCCCACTTTAATTGTTACAGTGGGATCAGATGAACTGGACAGCTACATGTATCAGACAGTGGGTCACTGGGCCATTGATTTGTATGCAGAAGCCATGGCTCTCCCCCTCTATCGCCGCACCATCCGAGGAAAGAGTGTGGACACAGGACGAGAGTACACCAAATGTGAAGGTGACGAGGTTGAAGACCTCTATGAGCTTTTGAAACTCGTTAAGGTATGCAGAGTGACCGATTACTTTTACGGAATTTAATGTGTAATTCAGAAAATTACGTTTATTAAATTACTTAGTAATAAATAATTTTCAACAGTTAGTAGCCCAACTATTCTTTGTAAGGATATTTTGTCTTTTTGGATAGAAAAGAAAATTGTTACTATGCCTTTGTATTCAATAGTATTTAAAGATAATACCTTTTGATGTAGTTTGGCATCCAGGATCGTCAAATAATATTTACCTAAGTTTTTCTTCCGCTTAGGATTTTGGAGCTGATGACCTTTTACTATTTTTTCTTTTTTTAGCAACTACTTTTTGAACACGTACTATGTGTATATAGTTGTAGGAACTAGGGACTAGGATAATGAACAGGTCAGACAAAGTCCTGTTCTTCTGGAGCTTGTGCTCCAGTGGAAGGAGACAGACAATAAACAAATAAATAAATATTAGGTTGTCGGAAAAGTCATGACATATTTTTTCTATGTTTTTCATTGCAAAAATGCATCGTGACTTTTCCGACAACCCAATAGTATGCTGGTGAAGAGTACTATGAAGAAGAATGAAGCAAAGTCAGGGTAGTTAGAGTGATGGAAGGAGTGGTCAAGCAAGACCCTTCTGATATGGTGAAATTTAAATAGACCTAAAGAAAGCGAGAGGCTGAGCCTTGTTTAAATCTAGTAGAGGAAGTATGAATTAGATACTTAAGTCCCTGTATATACGAGTTTGGCAGCCATTGTACATTCACTGTTAATTTCTCTAGACAGAAAATTTAGGAGAGAAAGTGTGGGGCTCATTTATCTAGTAGCTACTATACTCAGTATATGTTAATTAATGGAGATTGTTTTATATTAAGCAGTTATCTTTTCTTTCTCTTTGATAGCCAACTACTTGAATACAGTTTAGTATTCTTCTTACATATGAATTTTGTTCAATAAGCTACAGTCAATTCATATAAGGCATACTGAATGAAATAGAGAATTTAAGCCAGTATCTCCTAGACGTCTTAACATTTTTTCACAAAGGAAAGCAAGGAAGATTTTTGTCCCTTCTTCTACCAAGGGATGTTGCATTTTATTTTATCATTCTTCAGAGAAATTCAGCTTTTCAGAAGTTAGTCATGAACCCTTGTCATGAAAATGTGCTAGTCCCAAATAGCTACTTCAAAGCTATACTTTAAATCTGATGCTAATCAAAGCTTAATATCAAGTAAGGATTTGATTCAAAAAATATGTGAAGCATTTAAATTTCTTTGATGTTTGCTTGATTAAAATATTTATTTTGTATGCCAGAACATCTTCATTTTTATTTATCCTTTAAAAAAGAAACTAATGGGGGAACACTTATAGTAGTCCATAATTTACTGTTTCGTTCTGGATAACATAATAAGTAGATATTTTTCAAAGGAACGCGGGGTCCCGGTCTCTTCCCTTTAGGAAGATAAATGCTAATAACAACTATTCTGATTATCAAACAAAGGGGAAGGCATAAAAGAGTTCCACTTGTAATAGTCTTCTCTCCATACGGGCAACCAAGATCTTGACAATGTTCACTTTGAGGTATGAAATACTGAGTGCAAATTCTGCATTTTTAAAATTTCTTTTTCAGTATCTAAATACATTGCATATGAAGTTTTAGCATAAACCAGTATTACAAAATGGTGGGACTCACACTAGAAGTAATTGGATTGCTTAAAAATCACTGATAACTGATAATTTTGGAGAAGCTATGAGATAATAACAGCCTTCCAAGAAAGGGAAAGATAATAAATTACTAATCAATTTAATTAAAAATGGTCAGAAATTTCTTCTTAGTAGCTAAGAAGAAATCCGTGCTGTCTTTGAAGAAATGGATGCTTTGCCATTATCTTTATATAACTATCAGTTATGACATAAATTAATGCCAATGTTAAATCTTGACAACTTCTGCTTTGGAAGTTTTTACATGATAATTATAACTATAGTTGAAAGAGATGTTATCAAGTTGTCTGGGACTAAATAGTTCCTTCTTTTCCTGTATAGAAATACTAATTTTACTTTGGGATATTTTAAGGACATAAATACCAGAAATATATTGTTTTTATAGAAGAGATTGAATAACCGGGCTTATATAGTTAAATCCATTTATGAAACACTAGTGCAAAGATTCCAATAGAGGTCTTACATATTCTAATGAATAATTGAGCAATTATGGAAAAAAATCAAATTTAGAAGAAGCTATAATTTTTCAGGTTAGTCTTGTCCTAAGAAAAATATGGAATTGCCTTTGTTTTTAATCCTTTGAATATTGATGGATCTTTGAAAGTATTTAGGTTCATTTTACTTTTAGACATTTATTTATAACAGGTTGCAATTTTGTGACTTTCATGTGAAAGTCAGTCTTTTGTTTCTGTAGCTCTGATTTCCCCCCAAATATTAGAGCTAATTTTTGAGTAGGAGATGTTCCATTTTGCAAACAGTTTAATTGACTGCTGAAAAGAAGTAGGAAAGATTTGGAAGAATTTATAGAGTTAAAGGTTTCCTAACTTTTGTAGAAGTCATGAAAACTAATAGAACTCTAATAAGCCTTTATAGCTCATAGATCAGGTNTCTCTCTCTCTCTCTCTCTCTCTCTCTCTCTCTCTCTCTCTCTTTTTCCTTTCTTTTCTTTCTTTCTTTCTTTTCTTTTCTTTTCTTTTTTTCTTTCTTGCCTTTTTAGCCCCAAATGGATTGCTTGTAAGCTTCTTGAGAGGAGAGGTCGTATCTTCTATGTTCCTGTAATTGCTCCTCAGCGCTTAGGACAGCTCTATGCCTCTGAGGCATTCACTCAGTTCATGGGAGGGCAGGCAAATGAATGATAAACTAACTAGAATTAGCCCTGGAATAGCCAGCAGTTATTTCAGTCAGACATTTGAATTTTTTTTTTCTTTCCTTCTGTGATTAAGACCCAAGTAATGCTGAAAGTGAAGTGGGAAGGTGGAGATTAGAAATATTTTATAGGAAGAAATAGCACAGGTTCTATAGAGGGCTACGATAAACATACACTCTAGGATTTTGCTCTAGTGTTCTGATGATGAGTAGCAATAACTTTTCTGTAGTGAGTTGTTTTGAAAATAACCTCCTATTTCTGGACTTAAAATAAAGGAGAAGAAAACTCTTTGACTAAGGGTGAGTGGGAACTATACTGTAACTTCTATATTACAAAAGAAGAAGCAGAATTTTTTTGTTATGTTTTGTTACCAAAGTAAAGAAATTCCTTTATCTCTTGGGGTCAGTCAGACAAGTGGTTTTTTTAAACTTTCTATCTTGAGAGGAAATATAAGCAGATGTTTATATAATATGTAATACATACTTAATATGATATAATCATAATTTCCCTCCCTGGAGTTTCTATCTTATCTTCAGCTTTTCTATGTGAATTACTAAGTTACCTTGTAGTACTAAGTCATTTCTGTATAATCTTCCATGTGTTAATGGTTCACTGGCAGGGTGGGTAAGATGACAAGTAAAGTATATCTTTATACCTCACAGTGGAATGGAGACGTTTATTTAGAATGTTGTTAGTGAGAAAACATTCAATAGTAAATGGAATTGAAATATTATGAAGTAAATGCTGGAAACAATCAGCTGAACCTATAGTAATTGTAATGAAAGAAAATAGATGTCTATGGGTTGGGAGATGGAGAGGGTTTGGATAATTTTGATTTAAAGTCAGCAGGAAGTTGGTGATTATTGAACGATTAATTGGTTGACTTCTTTTCCTCCCAAATATGTTGTAAAATAAATCTTAATGAGGAATGACTGGTAGAGATGATTCCAGTATAAAGTTGGCTAGAGTGAATTCATGGCACTAGGTGTTCAATAGGTAGTCTGGAAAGGAATGCATCCCCATCAGTGGGGATAATGTGAAACTGTCATAAAATTCATAAAACCATCTCTTTAAATTTGTAGTAGGAACTTTTGTGGCATGTTAATTGAGGTGCTTCAGGCAACAGCGGAGCCTTTTGGTTTTATTTGATCTCATACCATTATTACTATGTAGCTTCCATTAATAAAAGTTACATTGTGGTTAGGGCTAAATGGAGCCTTAAAGGAAAATTGTTGTCTAGGTTTTTGAAGCCAGCAAAATGTTTTAATTATTACGCAAACATCATTTTTTGCAAAGAAGCTCAAAGTTCTCTAGATATATTAATTCAGTTGTATCAATATTTTTAATACTAATGCATTTAAAGAAGCAGTCCAAGTTTGAGATGAGGGTAGGCTGAAAAGTTTTTAGGTGACTTTGGCTATATCTCTCCTTCCTACTGGACCAGGGGTAGACAGATTTATAACAATAATGTGAGTACATGGAAGCCAGTCCAATGTGTGGGTCCAGAAAACTGGTGAGCCAAAATGTGTTGGCATATGGTTGATGGTTTTGATTACTAAAGGGGCCCTTTCTTACGATACCATTTTTCATGCCTTTTGATAGGATATTTTCACATTCAGTGGAATGCCTGGACCTGCCTGGCATATATACAATGCATATACATATATGTCAAACAAATTGTTTTGTAACCTTTTTTTTTTAACTTAACGTACTGTGAACATCTTTCATGTCAGTAAGTATTACTCTACCATTGCATTTCCTAGATATATTCTTTGGAATACAAATACCACATGAAATGTGTTTTGTGGATAGATACATTTGAGAGATATTTCATACTCTCTCCCCTTATTTGAGCACCATAACACATCAGCCTAGGAAGAAAGGCAGCAAAGACACCTATTTAACATGGTTTATTCCTATTCTTTATAAACCATTTTGACCATGGAATCCTTTTTCATCCAATACCTATTAATATCTCATGGGATTTCTATTTTGCAGAATATAGTTTAGAAAATGCTCTTCAAATTATATTAATGCTCTTCAAATTATGCAGTATTTCATGAATATACTATAATTTTAATCTATTATTGGGTTGTCGGAAAAGTCATGACACATTTTTGCAACAAAAAACAAAATACGTCAGTGACTTTTCCAACAAC